CTTCGTGCTCTGCAAGGAGTCTGCTTGAGATCCTCTCCCTCTCCATCTCTCTCTCTCTCTCTCTTTTCTTAAATAAATAAATAAATAAGTAGATCTTAAAAAAAAAAAAGCAAGCTTAGATGTGATAGTCCAGGGGTGATACAGTGACTCTGTGAAGTCTTAAAAGACCTCAATGCCTTCCACTTCCTTGCTTCACTAGCACTGTAAAGTGGCCCTTCTCTTCATGGACCAACTAACACAGTGACTCAAGTGCCAGCCATTACCTTTATTTTTCAATAGTGGAAACCAATAATGGAAACAAACCAATGTTCTAGAAAGGCCAGAAAGTACAAACCATCGTGTTCTTCTCTCTTATACCTTTGTTCTTTTTTAAGGTCCTCCTCAAAATGCATTGCCTCCTCTTCAAATTGCATTGTTTTTTTTTTTTTTCAAATTGCATTGTTATCTGGCATGGCATCTTTATTTTCCTTTCCACATAAATTCAGTGTGCTCCTTTTTAAATATTAATTTGGCATGTTTCTCTCCTGTTCCACTTCCCAGCTCTGGTCTGCACACAAATCTCAAGCAGTTCCTGTCCACTCTGGTTCACAGGCTCTTGGTTCACAGGCTCTTGTCTTTAGTTAGATCTTAACAGTGATGATCTAGTATATATCTTGACCCAAAGTAAGTTTTTTGTTGTTGTTTACTGTTAGCTAAACCTCTATAGAAATTTTCTAAGGAAATTGGGTGAATTTTGTAAAACATTTGAAAGTTATTTTAAATTTTATTTAATTAAGATAATTTATTTGCAAGTTTCCAAAAACAGGAATCTTTAAAAAGAAATAAGAAATATACTTGGCCAATAGTGGTAAAACATTTAGCAATCCTTTTAAATTCAGAATCCCTTCAGATCTGTTTCTGCTTGGTACTTTTATTCTTAAGCTATTATTTTGAATGAAAGGAAATAGGCATGGGATATGTTGCACTGATCTTCCATTTCACAACTAGATGTCAGTGTTAACATACCTGATTAAGTGTCTCAGGTGTGATTTAATGAGCTGAATCAAGTAATTACTCACCTGTATGAGACACAAGTCAGGAAATAAATGACAAAGAAGGAAAGGAAGAAAAAAATAAGCTATTTTCCTTATTTCAAAGTGGGCTGGTGAATTTTATATTTACATTTTTTAAAAATTGAATTTCTCCTACCTTAAAAACTGCAATTAAGCTTTCTGATTTATATGGTTAGGAAAGGCAGGTAAAAGTGTAAACTTGTAACTTCATTATTACTGAACAGAGGTTCTTCCCTACAACTTTTCCAGAAAGAGTGGTCAGAAAAAGAGGGAAAATTATTGCTATTCAAAAATGGAGGGTGTGTGTTTGATTCTTGCCAACTTCCATAAGAAACATACATGAGAGCAGGAATTATGCATGTATTGTCAGTGACATGTTACATCTCCCTAGAAGCTATCTCTCTCTTGGTATAACTAAATCTGCCTTTTTAAATTCAGTCCTCATGTAAACAGGATCATGATACTCCCTGTCCTTTCCTTGTAGATCCAATCTGACAATCTTTTAACATCATTTATATGCATTTCTCTAACTAGAGTGTTTCACCTTTTATACTCATGTTTCCTGTTGATAAATATGCAATCAGAGTAATAACTGAAATATCATGAGTAACATCCAGGTAAAGCAATAGATCACAGTGCCAAAAACACGTCCCTACCCTCCACGCTACTAAAAGGTCCTGATAGGTTCCCTTTTCTCCATTCTCTGTCCCCCTCCTGCATGATTTAAGTAATAGAGCTCAGTTATGCAAAATTCTATTGAGTTATTTTGACTGATGTTTTTAGTTAAACATTTTTGAAATATGTGTATGTGGCTTGACAAAGATTTTTGGAGGCTAGATTGGAAATATACAGTAAAAATATCAAGACAACTTGTCTTTGGATCTCAGTTTCAGATTTTGACAGAATTGACAGTTTTGCTTATTTATTTATTTTATTTAAATTTTAGGCAATTAACATACAGTGCAATATTGGTTTCTGGAGTAGAATTGAGTGATTCATCACCTACATACAAGGTTTGCTTTAAAGTTTGTTTTTTTTTTTTTTTAATTTTTATTTATTTATTTATTTATGATAGTCACACAGAATGAGAGAGGCAGAGACATAGGCAGAGGGAGAAGCAGGCTCCATGCACCGGGAGCCTGATGTGGGATTCGATCCTGGGTCTCCAGGATCGCGCCCTGGGCCAAAGGCAGGCGCTAAACCGCTGCGCCACCCAGGGATCCCACAAGGTTTGCTTTAATCGTTATTTATAAATCTTAACTTTTTCCTTAGAAACACATCTATATACCAGAACAATTCTGTTTTGAAGAGGCAGGTTGAATTATTGTCAGAAATATCTTAGTACAATCATTTCTCATCACACACACACACACACACAAAACACACAACCCTTTTTTTAGGTCATACGGTGGATCTTTTTTTTTTTTAATTTATTCATGATAGACAGAGAGAGAGAGAGAGGGAGAGGCAGAGACACAGGCAGAGGGAGAAGCAGACTCCACTCAGGGAGCCCGACACAGGACTCGATCCCAGGTCTCCAGGATCACGCCCTGGGCCAAAGGCAGGCGCCAAACCGCTGCGCCACCCAGGGATCCCCCATACAGTGGATCTTAATTTTATAACTAATGCATAAAAACAGTGTATTTATTTATTGACTTTTAAAATCTATTGTTTTCTGAGAAAGAATTTTTGGTTCATCAGTTCTTGGATTGTCACATAAAACATTTATTTGGCAGTTGCTTTTTGTAAGTTTTTATGTTTTTCAGGCCCATAATACAAGAACATAAAATTCTTGTAAATTAATGATTGTGGTACAGATTTGGCACGTCACTATGTATTGTCAGCCTGAGAAAAGAGAAAAGTGTTATTAACCAACTCCAGGCAATTCCATATTGCTGCATACATAGTGGAAATGCAAGCAGGCTTCATCATACTAATAACAAGATATCCTGTTTAACAAAACAGTAAAATGACTCAATGTTTATCTAATTCTGAGTTCTCTTACAAAGTTTAGTAGTTACTTAATTCATGAATTATAACAGGTTTACAGTTTTGCAAAATAATCTTTGGATACTAATTTTTTTTGTTTAAGAGCCTTCTTGATTTATGTTTCAAGATTTTTTCTGATGCCTTTGACAAAGGTATTATTTATAAGTTTATACTAAGGCAAGTAACTAGTTATTGATCCTAAACTTAGTTGGAGGCAGCTACCTATTATACTACTAACTGGACCTCAGAGTTCCCAGTGACCTAAGATAGCAAGGCAGCGGGTACCTAGAAGATAATTGGTCCAAGTCAAATTTCTTGAGCCTAGTAGACATTCAGCAAATATTTACTTAGAGATTTTTATGCCCTTGCTTTTTCTCAGACATCATCTCTTTTAGGCCTCAGTCAGTAAATAGTCGTCATTATTTTCTGATTGTGTGTGAGCCTTCTCTTTACCCCTTCTTCTGTGATCTGAGTTTTTATTTCTAGTGCCTGCTACATGAGCCCTAGCTCTTCACATCTAAATTCTTTCGTCATTTTTTGATATTTGGTCTACCTATGCTATCTATTGATAGCAAGTGGTTATTAAATAGCTATTTGGAGGTACTATGTAATTTTGTAATTTTTTTTTTTCTGGTGGTTTTCCTAAGGAGTCTCAAATACTATTATTTTTAAAACTTAACTTTTTCTCCTGATTTGGGACAGGGTACATACATCATTGTTTTTGTATATGTTTGAGTAAGAAGTGCAAGGGGATGGTACTTGCAAAATATAATAGCAGCTATGCATGTTTAACATAGCTCAAATTTTGACTGCCATTGGAGACTACAGTAAAACTCTGAATCTGAAACAATTTTGAACATTATTAATTTTTTTTTTTAGACGGGGAAAGGGAGAGAGGAGGAGCAGAGAGAGAGATTAAGAGAGAATCTTTTTTTTTTAAGAATTTATTTATTTATTCATGAGACACACACAGAGAGAGAGGCAGAGACATAGGGAGAGGGAGAAGCAGGCTCTATGCAGAGAGCCTGATGCAGGACTCAATCCTGGCACTCTGGGATCATGCCCTGAGACAAAGGCAGATGCTCAACCACTGAGCCACCCAGGGGTCCCAGATTAAGACAGAATCTTAAGCAGACTCCATGCCCAGTGCAGAGCTCAACATGGGCTCGATCCCACAACCCTGAGATCATGACCTGAGCTGAAATCAAGTCAGAGGCTTTACTGACTGAGCCACCCAGGTACCCTGAAAGTTATTATTATTTTATTTAGCAGCAAGAGAGAAGGGTAGTGAAGGGATGTTCTTAAAAATATTTCCCTTACTCTCTTCACATTCTGTCCTGGTCTGTTAAGATTTTCGGTTTTTTGTTTATGTAGTTTTTATATTTGGATACCAATTAATTGTTCATTTTAGTTAAAAACTTACCTAAACCTTAAGCAGGTGAATTTTGCAGTTTGTGAATTATATCTCAATAAAACTATGCTTAAAACACTTCCAAAACTTGCATAAAAGCATTTTTAGTGATAATGGGAAACAGCTTTATGTTAATATTAGCAGGTGAGGAGCAAATGGAGGTTAATTTATAAAAAGTTCCAAGTAATGAGGTTTTTAAAAAAATACACTTCCTTTTTCTATTTTTGGTTTGTTTTGCCTTAGGAAAACTTCCTATTTAACTCATAAGTGTGTATCTTAATGGAGTGAGGAGGGCAAATGTAAGAGATAATGACTGAAACATTCAAATCTTATTTTTAGCATTAGAATGCTATTTTGAGAGATGAACCAGAAGTATGCAAATAGCCCACTTCATGCCTAACTCCCTGACCTGGTTGCCCATTGTAAATCAAAGATATAGCTAGGTAGATGAGGAAATGTATTACAAAATTCTGGATTTTGACTTCTCAGTAAAGTGACCATGTTGATATTAGGGACTTCATTTTAATATATTCCACTTATCATTACAGAAAGCTGTATACCTGCACAAGTGGTGGCTGCCATTGATGTAAACACTGTCGCTAATGAAGTATACAAGTATAATTTTCCTCACACACAGTTACTGGCCAAGACAATTGAAGTGAGTAATGTTGCTTATTGTTTTCATAAGTATATGACAAGGAAAATGTGATTGAAAAATGCTATAAGATCCTGGTTTCTGGTGCCTTCATTGGAGGATAAGTCATATATAAATGCAAAAGTTTAGGAGAAGGGAATTAACATTTTATATTCTATGAGAAGAGGGCATGCTCTCTTTTGCCGTTACTTATTTTTAATTTTCAGTTTGAGAGTGAGAATGAGAGAGGTCAGTATTTTGGTCTTTTTGATAAAGGATTGAAATGTAAGAATATGTTTGACTTCTAAATGCATGGTTCTGTCCTGATATTAAACAATTTACTTTTATAGTACATATAGTATACTATATATATATATATATATATATATATATGATTATATATATATATAGATTTTATATATATATATAGATTTTATATATATATATGATTATATATATATATATAGCAGGAATAAAAACAAGAGAAGCAATCTCTGGCTAGTCCTTATTGAATGCTTCTTATTTTAGCAAGCCTGTTAAAATTAAAGGTTAAAAGTACATTGATGAACTTACCAGAAGTATTTAACACTGGTGTACATTGTTATCTCTAAAATAATATGAAATTGTATTTTTCTCCCATTTTCTTGTGAAAATTTTTTACAACAAATTTCTCATGAAGCTATAATTTATATACAATAAATTGCACTCATTTGTATGTGGTTTGAGTTTTGACTAGTATATATAAGTGTGTAACCGCCACGATCAAAACTTAGAACATCCATCCCCTGTAGTGTTCCTTCGTGTCCCAAACCCAGACAACAACTGATCTGCTTTCTGCCATTACAGATTAAATTTTCCATTTCTAATATATCACAAATAAAATCATGAGTGTAGTTTTTCTGGCTGTAACTTTCTCTTTTAGCATAATGTTTTTTTAATTCACCCATGTTGTTGTGCATATAAGTAGTCTGTTCTTTGTTATTATTACTGAGTAATACTCTATACAGTGGAATATTACGTACTACAATGTATATATCTGTTCACATGATGTTAGACATTTAGGTTATTTCCAGTCTTTGCCTATATAAAAAAGTTACTGTGAACATTCATGTACAGGTTTTTGTGTGGACCTTTGTTTTCATTTCTTGTAGTTGAATACCTAGAATTGGAATTACTGGGTCATATAGTAGGTTTCTTTAATTTTATGAGAAAATGCTGTTTTCCATAGTATTTGTACCATTTCACACTCCCATAATCAATGTTTAAGTGTTTCAGTTTTTTCACATCCTTACCGGTGCTTGATATTATCAATTTTTAAAGTTTTAGCCATCTAGTGAGCATATAGTGCTATTGTGATTCTTTTATGTCTGATGATTCTAATTTGCATTTCCCTGATGGCTAATGTTGAGCATCTTGTGCTTATTGGCTATTTCGGTGTCTTCTTCTGTGATGAAATTTCTTGCCCAATTCTTATTTGGTGTGCTTATAATATCAATTCATTGTAAGAGTTAAGTTTTCTGGATTCAAGCTGTTTGTCAAAAATGTGTATAACAAAGATTTTCTCCAGTTCTGTAATTTGTCTTTTCATTTCCTTAACTATGATCATCAAAATTCAGGAGTTATTTATCTTTCTTTGTTTTTTGATCATGTTTCTGTGTGTTTTAAAAAAAAACCTTGTTTACCCCATTTTCCCCTCTTGTAGAAGTGTTAGTCTTGGCTTTTCCATTTAGGTTTATGACCCATTTAAAGTAATCATATGTGTGTAGTTTGAAGGAGCAGTCATTTCTTTTATTTCTAGGTGCATATAACATTGTCCTGGAATTATTTTCCTTCTTTTTTTTTTCTTTTACGATTTTCAGAAATCCTTTCCTCAATTTCCTTAACACCTTTAAAATAAAAAAGGTCATAAATGTATGTCTATTTCTGGACTCTCTCTCTTCAGTAGTATCTATATGTTTTCCTTACACCAGTAGCACACTCTTTTGATTATTGAGCTTTATAATAAGTATTGAATTCAGATAGTACAAGGTCTCAAATTATTGTTTTTCTTTTTCAAAATTGTTTTGGCTACATTATTATTTACATTTCTCTGTAAATTTCAGAATCACCCTGTCAATTTTTACAAAGAAAGATATGTAGGTTGGAATTGCACTGATTGGTTTTGAAAAAATTGATATCTTAATTGAATCTGCTAGTCCATGAGCATGGTATCTCTCTTCCTTTATTTAGATACTCTTTAATTTATATCCACAATATTTTGTAATATTTGTTTACAAGTCTTGCACATATTAATTTATCCCTAAATATTTGTGGGTTTTGATGCTATTGTAAGTGGTATTTTTAAAAATATAAAAATTGTTCATTGCTAGCATATAGGAATATGCTTATTTTTGTTTATTGACCTTAACCTTCTATCTGTTACTTTGTTATATTGACTTATTCTGTTAGCTTTGATTTTTTCAGGATTTTTTTCTACATATACAGCATATTGTCAGAGAATAAAGAGTTTACTTTTCTGTTCCAATCAGTGCAACTTTTTTTCTCTTGTCTTATTACATTGTCTAGACCTGTACAGTGTTGATTAAGTAGGATTACATTGGATATTCTTGCCTTCTAGAGCCTAAGGGCCGAAAATTCGGTCAGTCATTTACATTTGGGATGGTGTTAGTTATATCTTTTTTATAGATGTATTTTATCAAATTGAGGACATTTCCTTTCTTTACATTTTCTGATAATTTTTGTAATGAATGAGTTTTGAATGTTGTCAAATGCTATATCTTTTTCACATCTTTTGACATCATTATATCATTCCCCCATTTTATTCTTTTATTATGGTGACTATTTCAGTTTCTGATTTTGAATGCATTCCTAGGATAGATTTTTTTTTTAAGATTTTATTTATTTATTTATTCATGAGAGACACAGAGAGAGAGGCCAAGAAGTAGGCAGAGGCAGAAGCAGGCTCCATGCGGGGAGCCTGATGTGGGAGTTGATCCCAGGACTCCAGGATCACGACCTGGGTCGAAGGCAGGCGCTAAACCACTGAGCCACCCAGGGATCCCTGCTAGGATAGATTTATGATCTATTGTCTTTTTTAGTAATGCTAGTTTCGATTTGCTAATATTTTGTTAAGTATTTTTACATTTAGCTTCATGGATGATTTCTTATTTCTCCTTGGTGTTTTAGTTTGGTTTCAGTATTAGGGTTATATTAGCCTTATATTTTTTGGAAGAGTTTGAAAAATAAGTAGTAGTTCCTCTATAAATGTTTGATAGAATTTAGTTAATGAAGCCATCTGGGCCTGGAGTTTTCTTTATGAGAAGGTTTTAAACTATGAATTTAATTTATTTAATTGCTATAAGACTAGTAAGGCTTTCTATATATTTTTTATTTAGTTTTAGAAATTTGGGATCTCAAAAGAAATTATGCATTTTATCTAATTCGTCAAATGTATTAGTTTGATGTTTTTCATACTTCCTTATACGTGTTTTCTATATGTGAACTCTATAGTACCACATGTCACTTCTGATGTTAGTGATTTGTAAAATGCTAGTGAAGCTGGAAGTTTGCCGGTTCTATTGGTCTTTTCAAGTAAACAGCTTTGGATGCAGCTGATTTTATCTATTGTTCATTTGTTTACTATTTCACTAATTTCTGATCATCTTTATTATTTCTACTTACTTTGTATTTATGTTTTTTTAAATACTTCTTACAGTGGAACTTTAGATGACTGACTTGAAATTTTTTTCCTTTTTTCATATAAACATTGAATGCTATAAATTTTCCTAAGTTTTGGCTACATTCCACAAATTTCCATATGTTGTGTGTTGATTTTCATACAATTAAAAAAAATCTCCAATTTTCCTTCTGATTTCCCATGTGTTATTTATAAGTATGGGTTTAAATTTCCAAATATTCATAATATTTTCCAGATATCTGTTACTGATTTCTCATTTCTGTTTTATTTTGGTCATACTTTGTATGATTTCAGTTATTTTAAATTGTTGAGACTTGTGTTATGGCCCAGGATTCAATTTTTCTAGTGAATGTTCTGTATGCTATGGAAAAGAACATATTCTTTTTTGTGGGGTGGAATGCTCTGTAAATGTCAGTTAGGTCAAGTTGGTCGATAGTGTTGTTAAATTTTTCTGTATCTTTGCTGATTTTTTTCTATCAGTTGCTGAGGGAAGGGGGTTGTAATTTCCAACTACAGTTGTGAATATGTCTCTTTCTTCCTTCAGTATTACCAGTTTTTGCTTCATTTTTTCCTGAAGCTCTGTTATTAAGTGTATATACACTTTATGGTTTTTTTTTTTTAATTTTTATTTATTTACGATAGTCACAGAGAGAGAGAGAGAGGCAGAGACACAGGCAGAGGGAGAAGCAGGCTCCATGCCGGGAACCCGACGTGGGATTCGATCCCGGGTCTCCAGGATCGCGCCCTGGGCCAAAGGCAGGCGCCAAACCGCTGCGCCACCCAGGGATCCCGCTTTATGGTTTTTTTAATTGAATGATCTCTTTATCTTATGAAATTTCCTTTTTTCCCCAGATTTTATTTAAATTCTAGTTAGTTAACATACAGTGCAATATTGGTTTCAGGAGTAGAATTCAGTGGTTCATCATAATACCCAGTACTCATTATAACAAGTGCCTTCCTTAATACCCATCACCCATCTAGCCTATTTCCCACCCACCTCCCTCCATCAACCCTCAGTTGTTTTGTTTCTTAAATTCCACATGAGTGAAATCATATGGTAGACAGATGAACATATGGGAGTGGGTAAAAGAGAGAGAAAGGAAAAACCCATAAGACAATGATAGAGAATAAACTGAGGGTTGATGGAGGGAGGTGGGTGGGAAATAGGCTAGATGGGTGATGGGTAATAAGGAAGGCATATATATATGCACAATATCTTCTTTATCCATTCATCAGTTGATGGACATTTGGGCTCTTTCCATAGTTTGGCTATTATTGATAATGACCTTGATATGTCCCTTTTTAACTCCAGGAAATATTTCTTGTT